GAGAAACCGTGTTGGCGGTTAGTTAAAACTTAACTTACCGTAAGTAGCTTAAGAATCTGTAGATTTTAGAAATTTTTTAAGTTACGGCCTTGCGGAAATTGAGAGCGGTGGGAGAATCAGGCTTGCCAGATTTTCTTTTTTGTATTTTTCAAAAATAAGTGTACGCAAACATGTTGCTAGGTTTCGCTAAAATACAGTTACTAAAGAATGAAGTACTTGTGATTCCTGAGAAAATTGCCATTTTCGTAAGTTACATTGATACTGTCAGAACTCATTAACCAGAGAAAACAAAAAAGCAAACTAAGAAATGCAGCCTTTCGGGCTTTAAATTGAAATGGATTTTTGATTTGGATACAATTTTTGGTCAGAACTTTTCTTTTATCATATAGCGAAGTTCTGCAAAAGGAAAAAGTAAAAAAAATGTTTTCAAAAGTTTAAAATTTCACAACTTCCCAGATTTTGAATAAACATCTTAAAAACTATAAAGTTGCAAAACTGGCTCCTATTTGGTTTCAATGGAACAATGGAACAATGGAATGGTTTGTTTCCCGAAGAAGTCCACTGCTTTGACTATAACTGTTCTGATATTATCTCAACGGAATTCAGCCTTCAGGCTTATCAAACTTTCCTCAAAATTAAGGACCAGTCGTTTTCAATTGTATCAGTAAGGAACTAATCGAGGACTAATCGTTGTCAGGAATAATCTGCCACAATTTTTTTCCAGGCATGCTGATAATATTCACACGTACGACTGTATGCATTTACATTTACACCTGCTGAATTTTGAGCGACAGTAAACAAAAAACCAAATATTTGAAATTTATAAATTCGCAAACTGTATATTTTAAAGTACGTATAAACAATTCAACCCAAAACAAATTGAATTACAGCAAAATGTTAAAGTGGCTGTCGGGAGAAAGGGGAGTGCCCTAATCCTTCAATGTATTTTATAAATATACACATGCATACATATACATATACATATGTGGTATTAAAACGCCAGATTTCTGCCAAAACGTGAAAACGTATTTATATGCATGTATATTAGGGTGGTGCAAAAACAGTATAGTCGTAATTGTAATGCTCCCACCCCATAGGATAGTTCTATATTGAAAAAAGTATACCCCTATTTTTTATTTTATAACCAAAAAATATTTAGAGGTCGCTCAAAGCGCTCATAGCTTCCCTGTATTTATATATGGGAAAACAACAACTTTTCGTTGAAAAGGGTAGAATTCTGGAAAATCAATATTTTTCGATCGGAAAACTCTGGTTCTCTTCAGGAGACTCTCAATAATAATATCCAATTGTTTATTTAATCATTTTTTGATAATAATGTTTTTTTATTGGTCCCCCCACTGCATTTTTCGGGGTTTTTGTTGGTTTTTGGCGGACCTATAATTTATAGTTGCGATAAAAAAATGGTTAAATAAACAATTGGGTGTTATTGCTGGGAATCTCCTGTAGATAAGCAAAGTTTTCCGATGAAACATATTGATTTTTAAGAATTCTATACCATTTTTACGAAAAGATGTTTTTTTCCCCATATAAAATAAATGGAATACTTTGAGCGCTTTGAGCGACCTATTAATATTTTTTGATTTCAAAATAAAAATAGGGATAAATTTTTTTCGGTATAGAACTATCCTAGTGGATGAGAGCATACAAATTCCAACTTTACCTTTTCCGCAAGCATTTTTAGACCACCCTAATGCATATACATATGTACATATTTGTATAAATATGTCAGTGGCGGCTTATGGAGAAAATTCCGTTGCATTCGTAGCGTAAATAATACGCTTCGTCGGATAACACTCATGTATGTCCTTACATTAAAGCAGAGAGCAACATAATAGGCAACAAAAACAATAACAACAAATGATAGAAATAACAATAATCAAGAGGAAAAATAAACACAAAAATGGAAAACAACGCAAATCAAACTCGAATTGAAAACAATTTAAACAAAACATTTACAATAGAAATAGCATAATAAAACAAAGCTAAAGAAAGCAGAATATGTATTAGGTATTTACATATATGTATTCGTACGAAGGTAAGTATGAAGAGTACTAAAATTATGAAAAGCATTGCATTAAGAGGAATAAAGGGATGCCCTTGGGAGCATATCCTGCCACGCATAGTTTTCAAATGCGAAAAAATGCTGCAACACAAAAAAAGCTTAGAAAGCAGAAAAAGGGGAAAAAGTACCACATACATATTTGTATTCTCATTGTGAAGAATGTAAAGCAAAGTGAAAGGAAAAAAGTGAAAAAATGAAGCAAATATTGAATGAAGAGGCTTGAAAAAAAGTCAGATATGAGTATATTGACAATTTACTTTTTACATTAATGTTGATTTTTTTTGTGTCAACAAACACGAAAAGGAAATTCTTACGTATCAATGAAATTCTATTGCATGGTTTTTTTCTCCTACCAATTCATCAAGTCATTAGCTGAGATCAGAGGCGCACCCAGGAATGTATTTTGGGAGGGTTTTATACTTCTACTACCAGAAAATACTGAAAATTCGCTTCAGATAATATGCTCTCAAAAATACATGAATGCAAGATTTATGTACCTACAGTATGTAATAAATAAATAAACTTTTTAAAGTTTCATAAATTGCACTTTTTTACATAAAATTAACAAGGAACTCAAACATTTTTAACCGACTTCATTCATCAATTCGTCGGAACATTTCTTTTATATATGCTACCGCATCATTTTGGACCACGTGAACCGATTTCAATAATTCTTTTTTCTTATTGAAAAGATGGTACCTCAAGGGTCGTCCCGTAATTTGGTTTAAATCTGATCATTTGCTTATGAAAAAATTAACGGTACTCCTATATATATATATGAGAATTGAAGTGAATTTCTACAAGATGCACTCAACTTGCAAAAGTGTTTAAAAAGAGTTTTGATGTTAATTTTCCGCGATTTTTGGTTTCTGTTTGGTTTATTGTTCTATGAATTTGTTTGTTATTGAAAAATAAAATTTTTGATTATTAATAAAAAAAACTTTCAACTAGATCAAAATAAAGGAAATAAAATTTTAAATAACAAAATTTCATATAACGATATATTGGCGAGCCTGCAATATTAAGACCTGAAGAAGCTCAGATCTAGAAGAACAGCAATTTTAATTATATAAATAGCTCAAGACTAGAAGAGCAGCTAAGCTACATATTTATCGCAGAGTTATACTATATTGAATAAACAAACAATGTATGTATCTGCTTTGGACGTGTAGCATATGCAGCATATAACTTATTTAATAACAAATTATTACAACAAAAGCATAATATTGCTTACTTTGAGAAGAATTTAATACAGCCGATAGCTCTTATCTGCAGCAGGACTAGCCTTATCTTCAACAAGCAACATCATTATCTTTCACAACAGCGCCAATATTATCAACAGTTAAAATATCATCAAATAGTGATGGCTGAAGAAGATATACATACATAAAACAACAATTACTACACCGTTTGGAATGTTTGAGTACAGATGCCTTTTGGACTAAAAAACAGGGAAGTTTGCGGAAAACGCTTAAACATGTCTTAACAAAAAAAAAAAAACAATATGTACCCACTCATATATACATATATGTTTGTGGATATGTAAACATTCTCACGTCCCTAAATGCTAACATACATATTGATGTTAGTGCTGAGGAAGAGCGACGAGGGGTCTTGCCCACTTAGTCCGATCTGTTACTAACAGATTTGGCATTCTAAGTTAAGTTTAATGCATTTTAAGCAATTTAAGTAGTGTCTGATTGTCAGAGGTAATCTTATTGCGCTGGACTTGAGAAATTCTACTTGGATTCCAAGTCAAAATTGTGAAATATCTTTTGGCGGTGATAGAGATCAGAGAATGCTTTTTTAGGCACTAATTTTCGGGCGACTACTTCAAACTGTTGTTGGAGTAAAAACTTTATGCTCCTGTTATTTGTTCGAAGTGGTTACTTCGGAAGTCAAGCCAAAGTAATTGCGATAACAATTAGCAATTAGTTTATTCGAGAACAAATTTGGCTACATTTGAAATGTACTTAAAACTGAAATTTGATAAAAAACTGAACAAAGTACAGTTCAACATACCTTTCCATCACAGCTACGTACCTATGTACATATGTATGTACCTTAAAAGCATTTCAACAAAAAAAACACCTCTGCGCAGTCAAGCATAACAGTACACACTCCAGCTCGCGCGTATTTTTCAATGTATAAATAAACAACGGGCGCGTAAAAATTCACTGGCATTTTATATGTGTGTATGCAGTAGAATGCAACCGGAAAATGTACAATAAAATGCCACTACAACACAAAAGTTTTTCACAATAACTAAGTATATGGCACTAGCGAAAAAGCCTTCTACTGAAAAAGTGGCACATTTCATTGTTTAACGATTTGTGCAGAAAAAAATGTAAAATGCTTGAAGAGAGAAAACCCTGGTGTGGGGAAAAATGATTGCGTTCATTTTTTAGCTGATTTAGATACTTACATGACCAAATACGTTGTGTAGAACATTTACGTTTTGATGCTTGGTCTAAGCTGGGTAGTTGGGGCCTATCTAATAAAATTCAAATCTCTTTACATCATTTATGATGAATAATTTAGAACGTCTAGACTCGATTATTGCATAGGTAACGTGGTAGAAAACGTAACTAAACATCATCGCGTATATCTCCTATGCTTCTCTGCTACATATTAAACAGCCCTTATTTCTCTATTAAAAATGTTCCCAAAAGTTCCTTGGCACTACCACGCTGATATGTAAAGGTATTGGCCCAATGCACGCTTGCTTTGCTTGCTTGGCTTTGAGAACTGTCAAACAATTTTTAAAATCTACTAAAATGTATGAAAGTTGGCCTAGTGGCAGCTTTACTTCACTTGCTTGAAGCGCTTTAAAGTATCGATTAGCCGAAATCTCTATTTGACAGCGCGCTGTAGGCTTTTGACAACTCTTACATTTCAATTTTTCGCGTCGATTTCGCTTGTGTGCAGTTTTTATCGCGTTCTTCATCAATTTTAGGTAAAATAATTTATATTCAACAATTATTTGTTGCTAACAACATTATTTTTTTCAGATACCTTGCTTTTTATCGTTCCGGCCACCAGATTCGTTGGTTTTCATAAAGTTTCATTTGCCTGTGCCACTTCCACCCGTGTTTATAAGGCGTAATATTCAACTGGAGGTAAAAGAGTTTATATTAAACAATTATTTGTTATTAATAATATTATTTGTTGCTAACAACAATATTTTTTACAGATACCTTACTTTTTTATCGTTCCGGCTGCTGTATTATCCGATTCTTGTGTGTTGGTTGGTATATCGGAAGCTTTAGTGCAAGATGTTCGAAGAAAAACTTATAGCAGAGATTGAAAAACACAACTGCTTGTGGGACAAACGACAGCTTAGTTACCGCGATCGGGTGAAGAAAGATTTGGCTTGGCGAAATGTAGCTGCTGCTGTGGGACATCCTGGTTAGTATAGAGTTTTTCAAAAAAATTCAAAAAATTTCTTGGGTGCGATTGGCGAAGTGTTTGAGAAGGTCCCAGAAGAGAGCCGCCTAGATTTTCAAATGGACGTACTTCAATACGTCTATGCTCAATATAAAAATTATAAAAATTGAATTTACGAAATTTAAAAATTTAAATGACATCCAGTTTGAATTCAATTTTGCGAACTTTATATGTAATCTAATTTAGTATGAAATCTGATTTTGATTTTGCGAATTAAATATGTAATCGAATTTAATATGCAATCTCACAGAAAATGCTTGCTATAATTTCATTGTTTCTAATCAAACACAATTGTACATTTTTTTAAGAAAATATTCAGGATATTATTCCAAACGCGTGGTTTTCGATGCAAGTTTACGAGGCTTACGCGGTTACGAGACATTTAAATAAATAACCTGGATATTTTTTTTATAAAAAATTGTACAATTGTGTTTGATTAGAAACAATGAAATTGTAGCAAGCATTTTCGGTGAGATTGCATATTAAATTCGATTACATATTAAATTAGATTACATATTAAGTTCGCAAAATTGAAATCAAACTGGATGTCATTTAAATTTTTAAATTTCCTAAATTCAATTTTTATAATTTTTACATTGAGCATGTTTCGTTGTGAAAATGCACTGAAATATGTAAATGCAAGATCCTATGGACAAGATCCTGAACAGCCCTATTATTTAAAATACTAAAAAGTAGACTGTTTGTAACAACTTTTGTTTTATAAATAGGCAATACTTAAGTACCTTAAAAAGAAACATATTACTTAAAAGACTAAGAAGTATATTGTTTGTAATTCACTTTTGTTTTATAAATACGCCATATTTACAGTGGTCGAAAAAATTATAGTCGCACCATATTTGACAAGTTTTAACATTTTTTTTTAAATTTTAGTAAATTTTTCATAAAAATATAGTTAATTCTTTAACAAAGCCCGTGTAAAAAATTCCGTTTTATAAAAAAGTCAAAATTAAAAAATAATATGTTAAAACTTGTCAAATATAGTGGGGCTATAATTTGTTTGCCCACTGTATGTACCTTAAAAAGAAACAAAACAATTAAAAGACTGAAAGGTATATTGTTTGTAACCACTATACTGTTTAAAACGGTTTTAACTTAAAAGACTGAATGAAATATATGTTATGTTAACGCCATACTTACCTTGAACAAAAATTAATTTAAAAACCTGAAAGATGTGACGACATTTAAAACATTACCAATAAGTGCCCTCATACTGTGAGTTCAAATTTTTGTTTTCTATCTTACATAATAAAAACAAAGCATATTCAGTGAGTAGTAATTATTTAAATTTTATTGTTAAAAAGATGTGTCTTCAGAGCATCCCTTAAATCATAATTATTTGAACTGCCTCGGTTCGATGACACCCTACTTATTGAGGGCAATGGAACTACTTCGTTTCGCCATGAGCCAGCGATGGTTGCATCCTCTTCGTACCGATCAACAAAATCGCTTGCTACATAGTTTGCACACGAAAGCTTAATAAAATTATGCAAGACAATACAAGCTTTCACTATTTGTTCTGCATTTTTCGGGGCCATGCATAGCGTCGTTCTCAATATTCTCCATTTGGCAGTGAGTATTCCAAATGCGTTTTCTATAACTCTTCTTGCACGAGAGAGTCTTTTATTGAAATACTCTTGCTCTTCTGGAATACCTCTACCCGGATATGGTCGCATTAAATAACGCCGTAAGGGAAAAGCAGCATCTCCTACTAAATAATGTGGAAATGGCTCGGTTTCTCCTGGCAGAGGCTGATCATGTGGAAGGCCGAGCCTATCATTTTCAATAGCATCTGCCAGTTTTGAAAAGTGGTAGACACCGCCATCGCTTTGACTTCCATATGCTCCGATGTCAACGCAGGTAAAGGTATAATTGGCATCACATACGGCCAAAAGCACGATACTATAATTGCCTTTGTAATTATAGTACATCGACCCTGAATTCGCTGGACAGGTAATATTAATGTGCTTTCCGTCGATGGAACCAACGCAGTTGGGCATATTCCACAGCGACTTGAACTCATTGGAAATACGTCCCCATTCCGTTTCTGACGGGGTCGCCACATACAGGTCAGCTAACAGATCCCATATGGTCATACATGTCTCCAACGTAATCTTCCTGAAAGTCGTCAGGCCGATCCTGTGAACTATTGTGTGGAATTGCCGAGTGCCACCGTGAGCCAAATATCTGCAACAAAAAAATAAAACCAGATACATATATGGAAAATTATACGTATACTATTAAGTAAAACCGATTTTCTCTTACATCAGGGTTATAAATAGTCTGCAGCGGCTCGATATTGGTGTTCTGGTTGAATATTTGGTCAGCGAAGCCTCCAGAAATTCGTGCAGCACATTAAATAACGAAAAGGGCATTCTTAATGTCTTGTTAAACTGCTCCTCATCTGCAGCCAAGTTTCTTAATGAACTTTCAAACAATCCATATTTGTGTCGCTCTAAGTACAATTTCCGAACCCAAAATCGGCGCTTCTGTTTTAATCGCAGTTTTAATTTACGCATTTTCGCTAAAATTAGGAAAATTCTCAAAACTTGTTCAGCATTTCGAGTCAACATTTTGTACTGCCAAATGAAACTTTATGAAAACCAACGAATCTGGTGGCCGGAACGATAAAAAGCAAGGTATCTGAAAAAAAATAATGTTGTTAGCAACAAATAATTGTTTAATATAAACTCTTTTACCTCCAATTGAATATTACGTCTTATAAACACGGGTGGTGAGTGGAGCAGCTTCACCAAAACCGGAACGATAAAAAAGAAGGTATCTGTAAAAAATAATGTTCTTAGTAACAAATAATTGTTTAATAACATATATTTTAACTAAAATTCACAATTATACTTGCTGGCACAACAAAGAATGGCGGGTATATTTGCGCGCATTGAAAATCAGCTGACTACTATGACAGCGTTCAAAGCTACCATTAGGCCATAAAAGCCTTCAAAGTAAAGCAAAGCAAACTAAAGTAAGCAAAGCAAGCAAAGCAAGCGTGCATTGGGCCAATACCTTAAGAGAAAAATGCATTTCATCATTTTGCCTACAAGATTTAAGCGATTGAAAAACCGTAATAGGTAATGCTTGCATAAAAACTATGGTACTTTATTCGTGCACCAGGTGCTTAAAGCAAAAAAATGTGTACGAACGCGCTATATTTATAAGTTTAAATAACAAAAGTACTCTTGGAAAAAGCTAACAAAAAGTATACGTATGCATATTAGGGTACATTACTTTGCATACAAAAATAAATCGGTACTGATTTTCCATCGGAAATATAAAAATTATTATATTCGAAGAATATCGCCAAAATATTTCGGAAAAATATTAAGATTTACGTGAGCTGGATCCATGTGTTTGAAAACACATCCACAAATCCAGTTTTTTATAAATAAAATTACTTAGTTTCTAAGGCTCATTTTCTCAAGTAGCTTTTACAATTTATCTGCCCTTTAAACACAAATTTTACTCTGAAAAAAAAATGTGTTTGAAGGGTAGATAGATTTTAAAACCGACTTGAGAAAATGGCACTAAAAAATTTTTCAAAAATAAAAGAAAAACATCTCAGACGATAGAAATGATTAAGCTTAGAAAGTCTGCATAAAAATGAGATTTTTGGGGTTATATTCAAATCGGTCCAGCTCACATAAATCTTAATATTTTTCCCAAATATTTTAGCGGAAGTCTTAAAATGTACCAAATTTAATAATTCCGGAGGAAAACCCGCAGATTTTTTGGTAATGCAGCCTAATATATAAACATCCATACTAAGCAAAAAAAAAAAACATCACTAAAAAGTAAAGACTTGTAGCCGCATTAAGCACGTATCCGCTGAGGCGTATATGTAACCAACACAGCGTCTACTTGTTACTCGCCTGCCCAACAGGTAACTCACTTTATAGCAATTAAATGCCATTTTTTTCTTTTACAATAATTTTTTAATCAGAAATCTTGTAAACAGTAAAGCGAAAAAACGACCGACCCGATTTATTTGCACAATGAATGCGGGAAAATGCATAATGAAATTGATATTTTTTCTGAAAGGTATTAAATGTCTGCATGTCAAATGAGATTAAAAAATTTCACCGTTTTAGCGCATGGCTGAATGACCACTAAATGTTTTTCTGTTAAACGGGAAAGTAAAGATCGAAAAAAGTGATGGAAAATGAATTGGTATGTACTCAACTTAACATATGAAAATACTTATAAACTAAAGGCTATTATAATTACATACAGCAAAAAGATTTAGATTTACCCTTCTTTCATAGAGCGAATATGAGGAAACTATTTTGCACATATAATTCTTTTACTGGGGCATGTACCTTAAAAGGCGGAGTAACTACACGAAAATTCAAAAACTTACAGTGTTTGATAAAATTTTTGCATGTACTGGAGCAGGCGTACTAGGTAGGGTCCTGAAAAGTATGTTTCATTGATTAGCTTATATCAAACATAGAGAGCTGTATCCCAATTAGAACTACCTACTGGACATTTTTTCAACATTCTTTGGAATCTAAATAATACTAATGCAGTTAAAAATGACCAACGAATATTTGATGCTTGAGCATATATAATACTTTTAGGTAAAGATCCTTGTATCAACACTGTTATTATTAGTTGGAAAATGATCTAATGATGTTATACTGGTAAATGGTACTGGTAATGATGTGTTCTATCTGCCATTGCCTTCTTCTTACGTTCAAACGAGCGCGTGCATAGTAGTACATGGCGTATGAGTAACAAAATTGCATGCTCATATTTCAGTAAAAAAAATTGTCATTTAACTTACAAACGATTACTTCACAGAGCAATTATTTAGATAATTCCTTTTTCTACAAAACAATATTT